CGGATTTGGATTCAGCGCATCGAGAAACCTAAAGATACCTGACTCATTTGTACGCATGTCTTTAGTTGTGATGATGTATGTGGGAAATACGAATTTGATCTATCGGTGAGTCATTTGACCCTCAGATGACCTTGGAGGGTCATGTTGGAAAAAATAGAAAATACATATTTGGACGTAAAATTTCCCGATCTTTCCGAATCCGTGGTCAGATTTTATGTTTTCCCGTAGTAAATGCGTTTGACCTTCAAATGTCCTTGAACACGACGTGCTGGGGTTATGTGGACCTCGGATTTGGAATCAGCGCGTCGAAATACATATAGGGTATCAATTTTGCCGAAGGACTTTTTCCGGTTCCCATTTGTGGTCCTGTGTAATCGAACCTTCACCTAATGGAGCTGGTATTTCCACTTCCTCTCTAGTAGCTACCCTTACCTCGCGCTCCCAGTCTTCAACCCATGAACTTACTCTAGGCGCGTGATATTTCGTGCTCGCCGATCTACTTGAATTGGCATAGAGGAATGTACTACCTGCTCTATTGTTTGGTGCGTTCGCGTGGGCCGATGACTCAGTCGCAACCGCTGGCGCGGTTAGCGTCTCGCGGTCGCCGAGCGGCTTGGCTTGAGGCGGCAATGAAGCCTGCTGTTCGGCCTGAGCCGCTCTACTGTGCATCGCCTCTCTTTCAACTTTAAATACTGTATTCGCGCCGTCTGTAACACCTTGCCGTACTTCTCGTCTATATATCCAACGCGGTACTGCTGTGAGGGCTCCCCAAATCTGGCTTATCGCGCTAGTGCTACGCTCGCCTTGGTTTTGCGCGACTTGTTCGCGTGCGCGTTCGTTCCTGTTGTCCGACGGCGAGCGAGCCGCCATCGGTAACACGTCGTTATTACCGAGCGCGACTGCATTTTCGCCCGGCGGTCGAGTTTGTTCACAAGAAGCGGCAACACTTGCTTTAGCCTGTGTCTCCTGCTCTTGTTCACATGATAATTCGGCCGCCAAAGGTACTGCAGCTACCGCGAACTCATCGCCCAGGTTCGCGTTCCGCGCACTGTTTACCGTCGTTTCTTGCTGTTCGTCGTACAGCTTTTCCGGAATTCGGCCTGACGCAAAATAGCTCGAGCGCAACGGTGGCTGCAAATCTGGCCGCTCTCTTAACAGCATATATCGAAAATACCGGGTTTGTAACTCTTCAAGGTCGCCGTGTAAGCTAAGTTCGCGATAGCGCATTAATTCCAACAGAACAGCCGGTTCTGTGGAATCAATTTTGCGTTTTAATTTTTTCGCATGCGCATCGCGTAATATTCTGCGCAAGACTATTTTATCTCTACATGCTAGCGACATTGTTATTTCTAAAAATGAAAATCCGTAACTTGACTACGACGCGAGCTTATGGGGCTAAGCAAGTCTCGACCGGTCCGTGTAATCTGATACCTTACTAACTAATTTCTTTCCAAGCTATAAGCCGGCAAGAAATCGCCTTGCTTACGCCTAAGGAAAGAAATTATAATTTATCAAAATTTACTTACCGTAATTTTTGAATAGGCAGTTTAGTAAAATTCTTAAAACAAAGAAAAACTAAAGCGAGGAAAGAACGCAGTCGTCTAGCGTCAAAGCGACTCAATAACGCACCGTTGTCATCCGACACCGCTACTAAGAAAGGTCACTGGCAAGCACTAACAAAGAATTCAAAATACCGAAAACTTGAAATTCTTTTACGCGCACTCTTTTGCCCTTAGTTCACAAAGAAAATCAGTTAACCGTTATTTCTAAATTTCATTATCAAACCATTTCTCTCATTTGTCTCTCAATTACCAAACTCACAAGGGATGCCAAACTTACTTAAATTACGCGAACCTATACCGGATGAACTGCCCGGCACGTGGGCGACTGGACAATTCGCCGGTCGCAACTTACACTACTACAAATTAAACTTAAATGCGGACCTTTAGATAGCCGGCACGTGGATGCCTGGCTATCCTATTCAACGCGCACCGGCCGTCGCATCACCAGAGAGAAAGAGAGTGTAGAGAGAAAGAAGAAAAGAAGGCTTGACCTTTGTTCACCGCTCCTAACAACGTCGTGGATCCCGGGCGATGTGCTGCCGCAGGAAGTACCGGTCGTCGTCGCTGGTCAGATCGTTGCTAGCTGCTGGCTGCTATCGCTGACCAGGTATTCACAGGCGACGTTGACTCTTCTTGCAGGGGGGGCTGGGTGCGGTCGCAGACAAAGCTGTTGCCGGTAGAGTTGACCTTCCTTCCGGCTATCCCAAACTGCACTCTCTAGCAGGACTACTGCACTCTAGTAGGACTGGGCTTCGACTCTGCTCTCTAATAGGACTGGGCTTCGATTCTCTCACGCACTAATTCTTGCGCTCTTCTTGCAGCCGATCAGCGACGCTCGCTCCCCTCCCTACCTTGACCTATTAGTTAGGCGGCACGCGCTCCGCTTATCGGTCACGCGATGCGCGCCTGCCAATCCCTGCATGGGCCTAATACTCTCTCTCTCTCTCTCTTTTTCTCACTCTCTCTCCGCGTTCCTCAACTTTTTCTTGCGCTCAACTGCGCTGGCTCGTCCTTGGCGCTGAAACAAAAAGACCAAGTGTTAGGCGCATACTTTAATGCGCCTAACGTTGGCCTACACGCCTTGCCGAGTGGAGGAGGGAGAACGCAGACGAGAGACCGGCACACGGCCTGCTCTCGTCACAATTATTTAAAGTATTGCTAGCTATATTTCTTTTATTTTCGTCCCGGTAGATATTCTTTCTGCTCTTTGTTTTATTATCGCCAATTATCGTCGCGATTAATTTTATTTATAAATTACAAAATTCCTTTAGAGACAATGCAAGTGCCTCCTGTTATAATTATGAAGTAAAATAGGTTGAAAATAATAATGTAATACATGTTTTTGAAGTATTTTTTTCTGTAAAACACGATAACACTATTCGTTATATTGTAGAACTCACCAATAGAACTCTTGAAGTGTAAAACCATATTTTACAGAGGTTTTTCAGTTGTAATTTTCATCGAGTATACTCTATAATGAAACTAATCGCGCCATCATGTTCTGCAAAAAAAATAGGTTGAAAATATGTATCACATAATAGTTTTTAACGTAAAATTGTCTTATAATATCAAATTATACAATAATTCTGCGAGGGCAACTTCAGACACTGCATACTTAGGACCTAATAATCAAAAAATTTTTTAAGATAGAAATTCAAAAACATAATTGTTTTAGCTTTTCAAATAAGTATATGATTTATAGGTTTCAACGACGTAATGATCAAGTTGTGGAGCAAAAACCAAACATTATAACAAAATTTTCACGTTTATGAATTTTTTTCAAGATCAAAAAATGACCTTAAAGTGATCGAACTATTTCTCTGATATTTCTTTTAACGTAAATTACTTACAGTTAAAATTTCAACTTTCTACGTCATGTAGATCCTGAGATTTATAATTTTTACATAAATATTTTCCTTTTATACTAATATGTGTTGGGAACGTTCTGCCGTCACCTGCCCGCTATCGATCATTTGACACACGTACATGTTACTACTGAAATTGAGTCAAGAGACAGAGATAGTCTGTTAGTGTGACATCGTGCTATCTCGTTCTCTCTTCTCAAGCAAGATAGTCGCTCACTCAACTTGTTAGCATGAACGTAAACACGTGTAAAAAATCTATTTCAGAACATTCTATACTTTGACACAGTATTCATCATAGCAAGTGTGATAGATCTATTTATTGATAATTATTTTGAAGAAGTTATGAACTTTACTAATACATTGGATATGTATTTATCTATATGTGAAGTAATTTGTTTTATTTTTATTTCAACCAAAAGTATTCATTTGATATTTTTATATAAAAATTGTATTCTTATAATTTTTTTATTTTATCGAATACCTTTTGGCTGAAAATATATTATATTATCATAACTTACCAAAATAATAATAAATACATTTAGAACTATCATATTTAAAAAAAATCTTTACAAATTACAAAATAACTAAGATTTTTTGTGATGTACTTATATTTCAAACTATAGCAAATAGTCACATTTAAGGGGACCGGTCGCTGTTAAATTGTGAATATTGAAAGTTTTTCTTGTTGTCATGTAACAATTGTAAAGATATCACCATAACAAATTTTTTATCTTGAAGGACTCGGTAAGAGATTTTATTATATACTTATGGGTACCAAAATCTGATTTAGAGATCTTAAAACGTTCGTATAATCGTACCATTTGATTTATTGAAAAAATTGACTTTGTCACGTCTTTCTGAATATTAGAAAAACGAATATTATTTAGAGAAGTCCCGTTACCTTCGTTCTTTACTATGGAATGAATCAAGCAGATTTTCAAAACGATTATTTTTTCATGTTTGTCAGTCAGTTTTTCCAATAGTACGGATTATTTTTTCTTAATAAAACTAGTCGAAAAAATAATAAAATAATTTTTCTGAGAATTGAGCTCCACTCATTTCTTAGTACAGGTTCTAAGTAATTCCACAAGTCTTTCTAAAATAATTTTCGTTCACTCTAACGTTCGTAAATGCGTAGTAAAGTCAATTTTTTTCAAAAAATAAGATGTTACAATGTTCTAGGGCTGTTAAAGAAGATTTTAAGACTCACAAACAGGAGAATTAAAGTTCATACCAAGTTCTTTCAGATGTGAAAAGTTTCATGGCGATATTTTCATTAAGACAATTTTTATCCGATAAGAAAGAAATATTCAATTTTTTTTTATTAAACACTGGTTTTCTTAAAACATGTTAAGATGACTCACAAAATATCCCTATCTTATACTTGGATCAATTTTCACGACTAAAGTGAGTGTTAATAATGACGACACGCTTTTTATGGCGATTGTCGGGTCTATATGTTTAGAAAATAATTCCATATATATTGTTATATTTTATAAATTATTACATAAAAAAATTTATTTAAATATCAAAAATATTAAGAGAAATAACAATATATACTCTTCTGTTTCAGTCCTTTGCCCAACTTAGGAATCTTCTACTGTCAAGAAATGCGTAATTATAAGCACAAGCTCATATAAATACAACACTGAATTGTCAAGAGTAAGCATACGCACAACTACTTGCATCCGAATACTGTAATAAAAATACAAATAATCATGTATAATCCAAATCTATTTAGTCTAATCATTGCATACATTATCAGAGCTATTGTATGTCTAGTCTTCGTGCAAAGTATTACCTATAATAAACGTTGTGATTGTCAAAGTAGTAATTTGTTGTATTATAGTTGCAAACAATATGTATTTTCTTAAATAATTTACACCTTTACTTCTCAAACCTAAATTAATTAGAAATAATGTCTTCGAAAAATCTTACCAGCTAGGCGTAATTAAAAATACCTTTAATGAAATCTTGATTCGCTTTCGATAAGCTTTTTTATTATTTAAAATTATTATCTTAAATGCATTTGCAGATCTTTGTATTTAGGTGCATACGTAAAATCTGTTTTTGACCATTTTTCTATTTTTTGCCGATATTTCGGTCATTTTTGAATTAGAAGAAACTTTCTTTCTTCAAATCGTAGATTTTTTAAGCCCTACAAAATAGCTTCATTTAAGAAATTTTTATTCATATCTACTGTAACAGGCCGCCGTTTAGTCGACAATCTCTTGAAAGTACCTTTATTACGACTAGACGACGCCTTGTTATCTCTGTGCTCAAAGCACAGCAACCTACCTTGTCTCGGAGTGCGCCTGCGCAGAGTCTCCTTACTAATCCGAGTTGGGTTCCCCCAACTCGCCGCTTGGCGGCGCTGTCGCCCTTACTAGTAGCGCTCGTGCGGCCGCCGCTGGAACCCAAGTTGAAGATTCCCGCCTATCGATATTTTCGTGATTCGTGCTACGCTACCGGCGAATTCGAATCTACTGTAAACAAATACTGACGCGACCTCCGGACAAAGGAATGACTCAATAACGACTATTTAACTCGAAGATGACGATTAATGTTCACTTTATTTATGCAACTTAGTTACACGAGGGTTTTGCCGAGAGAGAGTTACGCACGCTTGCGCGAATGACAACACACGCAGATTGAGAGAGAGAGAAAACCGAGATTACCGCGAACTAACCGCTCGCACGCAACAACTAATTTTCCTCGCGCACGCTGCGCGGGATCGCACGCAAATTACAACGGTAAAAAGGGGAAGGTGCACCTACCGCGAGAACGATGAGGATACGGTGGCCAACTGTATCCGAATAGCAAATTGCTGAACGCCGCTTCGCTGCTCGCTGTACCGCCTCGAATACTGTTGCTGCTGTTGTTGTTGCTACTGTCACTGCTACTGCTGTTGCTGCTGTTGCTACTGCTGCTGTTGCTGCTGCTACTGTACCCAGCACACCCACGCACTCAAGTTCGCGATGCTCAGCTGCGCACTATCACCAGGAAACGAAAAACTCGGAAATGGAGGTTAGCTCGACGCTGACAGACTGAGTGGCACAGTCATACTGCCGGTCGGAGCCTCCCCTCCCGGTCATTGCCCCTACGCGCGCTCTCTCTCTCTCTCTCGCGAACCGAACGCGGCTCCTCTCGTTTAGCCGCTCATTAACCTCGCGCGAGTCTGACGATTTTCGGTAATCGTTGCACTACAATTCCATATAAATTTTCGGACATATTGTATGTCAAAACCAATTTGAGTAAATTTTTTCAGATTTTTAGAAGTGATAGAACATGGTTCCCTATTTTAATAATTTATCAAGCTTGAATTATCCTCTATCCAATAAATATTTTAAAAATTTTCTGCACGTATTTTGAGACCAAACAAATTTCTATAAGCTTCTCTGTATGACACATTTAATTATTATAAAATTATAACAATGAGAGAAAAATAGAATAGTAAATGAAGTTTACTATCGTTTAATAACAAGAACAGTGCAAATTAGTTAACTTGTTATATAAATCAATTAATCCAAGTCACTTCATATTTATTTAGTCAATAATAATTAAATTATGTAGGGACTGAAGACTGTTTCTCATAACTAATCGAACTAAAAATGAAGTACATTTTACCTAATATTGCTGTTATGTAGCGTTGAAATCAATTACATAATGAGATCAAAAGCTTAACTTCAATCTGTTTTGAGAAAATTCAATAAATTAAACAAACATCAAAAGAACATTGAGGGTGAAGCTATTGTTACGATACATAAGAACACCTTATCACATGATTTTCAAGGAAGGTACCCCAGGTGTCCCTCGCTGGTTTCAGTTTTTTTTTCATATCTTGTAGAACATTGAAAAATAAGACACCCGTGTGTTTTTATCCGCGGAAAAAAATTTTTAGATGTGTGACAGTTTCTCAAAATTTTGGACGCCGAGGGGTGGTTTAAGGATTTGCAATGGAATAACTTGATATTTTTTAACCATACTCAGTGGAAAATTTGTGTTACTGAAAGGAATGAATAATATCGATTTGTTGACAAGATTTGATATATTTTTAAGTATAAATAAATAATTTATTTATAAGAAATTTCATAAAAAATGACAGAGAAGTTAATTTTGAGCGAATAAACCTGAAAAAAATATGCTACACACAAATACATATCTCAGTTGATGTATTTCTGTATTTTTTCTAAATAGAATTTTTCAAGGGGTCTTTGGATAATTTACCATGTATTAGTACCAAACTGGGATCTTCTTCCATAATAGTGTGACACACCCTCACACTAAAACGGTTACTTTAGGAGTGTAACGAGGAAAAGTAATCGTTAAGAAGAACGTTCAATTCTTATATATGCTTAAAAGTTAAAATTTATAGATCGATAAGAATACTCGAGGGTGGTCCGATAAGTACTTAGCCTCACCGCCCGATGGCGCCACTCTCGCAAAAGAAATATTTTATCACGTAGTACAACCTTCTAGATTGTTTCTGTCAAGATTTCAGCCAGATCGGAGTTGTAGTTTATTTTTGAGAGCGTGTGAAAGCAAGTGTGTCCGTTGATTTTTGAAAAATGGAAAAAGAGCAGTATTGATCGGTGATTCGATTCTTGTTTTTGGAAGGGAAATCGCGCAGCGAAATCAAAAAGCGCTTGGATGCTGTATACGGTGACTCTTCTCCTTCGATGGCGACCGTCAAAAATTGGTTTAACGAGTTTCAACGTGGCCGCACGTCGATTTTTGAAGAGCCACGTCCAGGTGCTCCGAAAACGGCTACCACGGAGAATAACGTGACAAAAATTCACGATCTCGTATTGGCAGATCGACGATTGAAGGTGCGCGAGATAGCTAAGATCGTAGGCATCTCAAAAGACCGCGTGGGTCATGTCCTGCATGAAATTTTGGGCATGAGAAAGCTGTCGGCGCGATGGGTGCCGCGTTTGCTCACTCCGGACGACAAGCGCAACCGTGAGACAACTTCAAAGCAATGTCTTACGCTGTTTAAGCGCAATCCGAAGGAGTTTCTGCGTCGTTTCGTGACAGTCGACGAAACATGGATCCACTTGGTATACACCAGAGACCAAAAAACAGTCGAAAGTCGGCGAAGACTGCCCCATCGGCCGGAAAGGTGATGGCCACCGTTTTCTGGGATTCACAAGGTGTGATCTACATCGACTACTTGGAGAGGGGCAAATCGGTCACAGTGCTGTACGATGCCGAATTATTGGGCCGATTCGACGTCGAATTGCAGAAAAAACGGCCCCACTTGGCGAAGAAAAAAGTGCTCTTCCACCATGACAACGCACCGGCTCACACTTCCGCCGTCTCCATGGCCAAATTGGTCGAATTAGGCTACGAACTGCTGCCCCATCCACCCCATACATATAACATTTATATGTATGATATTCTTAATATTATGGTCATATATATATAGAGAGAGACATAACGAGTTGACGTCAAACTCGTTATTAACTCGATAAGAGGTTTGAGAGGCCAGAATTATCAGGGATGTATTGCAGAAGTTAACCCATTAAGGCCCATGCCAAACCTGGGAAAGATAGCGCCAAACTAACTATGCCAATCGTAGCTAAATCGAAAAAAAAATACCCGTGTTTTTTCTTTTGCCATTTTCAATTGTTTATAAAAAATTATTTTAACAAATTATCAAAAAGTTATTATTTTCAAAAAACTGATAGCGGCAATCGATTCTACGGGAAAAAACATGAAAGAAATGTATATAACGTTTTTTTGTCAGACGTCAATTTGTTTAAGAAAATAGGACAGAAAGCTTTGAATTTTCACAAATTGTACATTTGGAAATTTAACTAACATAGTAATTGTTGGGTTACGAAGTTGCAAAGAGTTTGCAAAATTTTTTTTCTATTGAAACCGTGTTAGAGATCACGTTTGAGAGGCGGGCTAACGGTTTTATGTAATATTATGGATTCAGTTTTCATTACAAAAGTTTTTAGTATATTTGGACATTTCTAGTACATTTATTTTACAGTTATTTGTTTTTGGAACAAATTGACATTTGACAAAAAACGTTATATACATTTCTTTCATGTTTTTTCCCGTAGAATCGATTGCCGCTATCAGTTTTTTAAAAATAATACCTTTTTGATAATTTGTTTAAATAATTTCTTATAAGCAATTGCAAACGGCAAAAGAAAAAACAGGGGTATTTTTTTTTTCGATTTAGCTACGATTGGCATAGTTAGTTTGGCGCTATCGGCAATAGATTTTGCTTGGGATTTGGCGTATACACATGTACCTGACAGACTTGCAATTGTTTATAGCCGTTTTACACTAACAAATTGACGTCTGACAAAAAAACGTTATATACATTTCTGTCATGTTTTTTCCCGTAGAATCGATTGCCGCTATCAGTTTTTTGAAAATAATAACTTTTTGATAATTTGTTTAAATAATTTTTTATAAACAATTGAAAATGGCAAAAGAAAAAACACGGGTATTTTTTTTTTCGATTTAGCTACGATTGGCATAGTTAGTTTGGCGCTATCTTTTCCAGGTTTGGCATGGGCCTTAATGGGTTAAATAATCAAGTTTGGACAATTTTAAATTTTATTTCATCCCAATGGTAAATTTTCGAGCATCTTAAATGAAGAAAAATCCGTTAGGAAAAGTAGCATACAGGATGTAGTCGCGGTTTTATGCCCCTCTCCTCCCATCGACATGCTTACGTCTGTTGAAGACGTGCAAGGGTGCTATGCGCTCTTTGCATGCGTGAGAGAGCACTGGCTCGGATGCAGTACAAATTTTTATTGCCTTTCGAGGAAAATTTCTATCGCGACACTCATCTTGGTCCCCCTCGCTATTGAGCAACTGTTCTCATTCCGTTC